TTGAAATTTGCGACCAGATTTTAGACCAGTTACAGCGGCGTAATGGGTGGTGCAATAAAAAATCACTTATGTAGTTCATATAAATTAAATCCCAATTTGTCAGTTGTACCGGATTGCGGAAGCCAAGGACCTGCCGATCTTATCCCTGCGTGGCGACATTGACGCCCTGTAATCCGCAAATATATTTACACATTCAATTAGGGTGCCATTAAGCCAAACGGCTCTCGACCAGAGCGTGCCGAGCAATCTGTGCTCAAAATTTGCCTCGGGGGACGATTGTTTTGCCATCACACCCTAATTTGATTGTACTTCCCTCACTGATTTTTTGATGCACTTAACCCTCGACGTTCCAAGGACGAGGACACATTTGTTACACTCGCCACTTGGCTGTGCGCTCGACCATTTGGGTTCGTGGTTCTGGTTCTGGTTTTGGGTTTGGGTTTTGCTTGGGATTGGTTTGGAATGGAAAGACATAGTCAGGAGGCCTTTCAGCCGGGACCAACTGGCAGGAGTGCGGTCCAAAGCCGGAGGATTAGCGTCATATGCTTGCATTTTCCGGGCACCGTCTTTGTTAATTTTATGGGCTCGTTGAAATTCACTTTGGCACACACAAAAGTGTTAAGGGCGCCGGATGGCTGTGTTATGAATTTCTGACATTTTTGGCGGCCTGACTCGGAGTCTAATTCAATTTGCTGATTATCGCAAATTGAATTTGCCTGGCCATTCGTGCATGCCATCATGAAGTTGGGCATCGATTTAATTTGAGTGTCTCCGCAGACAACTCGTTGCTGCAAATTGGTAATTAAATTGCCAATCTGCGATCAGAATCTGATTGTTTCTTTTCATGTTTTAATCAAGACATTTTACACTTGATCCGGTCCAGCTCCAAAACATATTTTCTATTCAAATGTATGAATTTCTTGCCCTTAAAAAGAGAATAATAAGATGCATAACTTTTTCTGCAAATACATAAATATTTAGAAGTTGATTCGTTGACGATATAACATTAATAATTCGGCACTGACTATTCTCGGAATGATATTTTCTTTATTAGACATATTCCTTGTATTATTTATATTAAAATATATTCTTTATTATTTATGTAATATGCAAAGGCCCAGCGAATTTTAGTTTAAGTTTTTTTTTATATTTTGTTCTGCGGCTCACGTTTTTAGAAACCGCTAAATAATTAATAATACATAATAAAGAATAGGTTGCCGTCGGGTTATTAGTATGTCAAGTCAGTCGTTTTTTGGTATTTGAATCTTTGGCTTTGCAACCGCTCCTTTTTTTCCCTTAAAAGGAACCCTTTTTAATTTTTTCTATCTTATGCGTCCTAATTAATCGTGGGTGTAATAAGCGTAATTATATTTCACACACAATTTCCCCACCAACGTGATATTGTCCTTTTTTAAATTTGTTGCTAAAGGGATTTTTAACCGGCCTTAGCACATCCGCTTTTTCAAAATATATCTCACTTTTTAGTAAGGAATCAATTTCTTTGTGATCCAGACATTTCACAGCTTAATAAATATATTTCATCACCATGCTTTTGTTTTTATTAACACATCAATTTACCTTGAGAAGATGGTCGCGTTTCGGAGGAATTTTCTTCTTTATTCATTTTGCTGGGCTCAAGCGAACTGCGATGGTAGATCACACCTGGCTGAAAGGTTCGTTGCCAATCAGCACTATTCTATTTCTGAGTATTTATGAAAGTCCACTTTAAATCGCACTTTTTGGGGGCATCGCATTAGGCTCCATATTAAATTGCGACCGTAGAGTGGCGACGGCAAGTGGAGAGTCCTGTGATGCCCGCTGATGAAACCGAACCAATCCGATCCGACGGCGCTGCGAGTGTGCCGCGTTGATGATGTTAACGTCTCGATGTACGATTTCAGATTCCGGATTTCAGATTTATCATAAAAGCGTGACAGGAGCTAAACACCGACGTGTCCACTCCAGCAGTCGGCCAACCAGCCAACGGGCCAACCCCGGACTAGGGTAAAAAAAACCATATCGCAGGATATAATCCGCGGTCGCTGAGTGGGCAGAGAAGTCCTTGTCCGCGTATGTGTGTGTGAGGACAAAAAGCACGGCACCCAGCACCCAGCACACACACACTGCATACACACACACACTGCATACACACAGACGAGCAGCAAGAGCAGAGAGCATCGAGCATCGAGCAGCGAGCAAGGAGCAGCGAGCGAAGGATAACCGCACACCACCCACCCACCAACGGAGACTTTTAGTGGCAACTCTGGTGGCGCATTTGCTTGTTGGCTTGCTTTGATTCGTTCCTTCTTGATGCTGCGGCAGGAGCTCGTCCTCGCTGTTAGTGTGTCGGTGTGCGGGCCTGCGAGTGTGGGTAAGCCAAGCCACAATCGCAATCTCCAATAAACACCCGGCTCTGCGCTCTCTGCGCACACACACAAGCGCACACACACACAGGCACTCGAAAGAGCAGAGAACGTTCGGTAGCCATCATGACTCAAAAAAGCTGAGCGCCGGCGAGCGGAAACGGAAGTGGGCGGGCGAGAGGAAGTGGAGCAGAGCAATGGTGGCGCCCCACCAATACAGCCATGTAACGGATGACGCAGCTGCGCGGCTGGCGCTCGTATAATCGTCTTGGGTTTTGACATTTTGTTTTTGTTTTATAATACCCTTTGTGATGTCGGCGCTTTCGAGCTTGCCTCGTCCTGTCCCTCGATCCTCTCGCCAACGATTCTGCCCCCCTTCTTAACCCTCTGCCAACGACGTCACTCTTGGCCTCCCATTCTAACCGCCCCCAAAAGCCCCAACTGCCACCCAGAAATTGCCGCCACCCAGTAAACTGTAATTGAATTGAAGGAGAAAATGTTTTTGCTGCTGTCCTGTGGGTGTACTTGGGTCTACATCAAGTATATGTAAGCGTACATACATTCGTGTATAACCGAAGGAGTTTTAAAAATTAAATGCTTATAACATAGTTTTTACATTCTATGTTAATACTTTTTCAATTAAATGCGAGACTAGATTTAACTGTAATATCACAACCATTTAATATGTATATCTGAAGATTCGCATTATAATTTTTACATGGAAAATGAAGTGAAAACAAAGGCAGTTTAAACAAATGGTAATATGCTTCTTGTGTTAAAAGATTTCACTAATATTTGCTCACCGTTTTTATTCTACTTTTTATAGTGAAAATGGCGAATGGACAAGCCAAAGTTTATATGAAGTCTAATTTATTTAGACAAAACAGTGAAATAAAATGGCATGTTTCATATTATTACCAATTGCTCCTGTGAAAGGTGTAAGGTAAAGCTCCTGCAAAGGTTTATAGAACTTCGAAAAAAATAATCATAAAATATTTGAGATGTTGTATCTGATGGCGTGCGCAGTCTTATTTATGCATACACATTTTTATTTACTCATTACTCATTACTCATTTTATTTCAAGCAAATCAAGGCTTTCTGTGTGAAAAGAGAGAGAGAGCTAAAAGTGGTCCCAGGTCCACTAATCCAATAATCGATAAAATGCTCGCAGGACCAAAAGGGGGGGCATGGGGGAGGGGAGTTGGCTCCGTTGTGCTCCCCGATTTTGTTGTGGGGCTTTTGCCATGCTTAATGCGCCGACATTAACTTTGTAACAAATGAGATGTCGGAATACAACAGTCAGGATCCTGGCAAGCCACAGCCCCTCGCCGCGCTCCCTCCATCGCTCCTTTCGCCGCTCCTTTCTGCAATCTGGCTCTCTTTGCGGGGGAGAAAGCCAGAGAGCAGCTGCGGCTGGCAGAAGTTTATGCTCGGGACAAAAGTGAACAAATGCAAAAGTCAAAGCGCTTTGCCAGCCTGGCCACGCCCACCACGCCAGGGGAGGAGCGAGCGAAAGCGAGATAGAAAGACAGCGACAGGGAGAGAGAGAGAACGGCGTTATCCTGTAACAGCCGTGCACCTAGGTTGCCCGTCGGTGCGAGCGAGAGCAACGACCTCGTGCGAGCAGGACGAGCAGAGTCGACGGGGTTGGTTCTTGACATTTGAACGGCGACATTTCGCATCGCCAGGATACATACACGAATACTCGTACACCCACTCCCACACCCACACCGAGGCGAATGCCACCCACTGGAGTGGGCGGGGGGTGGGCAGCCCTATCAAGTGCAGTGCACTTTATTTAATCAATCAAAATTCATGGACTGCCTCCTTTATTCAACATTCAGACACTTTGTATCTTTGATTTACGTTCCGGTAAAGTGGGATTACAAGGAACTGTAAGCCCAGTTATGCAGTTTACTATTGTAATTTAAAGGCCACACGTTTATATAACATTCTTCGTCAACTTAATGACACATTAAATAAAATGTGTAAAGTGTGAGGTGCATGTGCCGCTTATCGGCCAAAATATAATCTGAAGTGTTTTAAATTTGTTTCATCAACCCAAACGTTTTGAGATTACAAATTGCCGACTAAATTGTTTCTGATTATCTATAAACAGTTTTAAACTAAATATATGTACGTCTAGTAGTAAAACGTATTTGAAAATGTATCACTATTTTTATGAGTTTTAAATCGAGACCAGTAACAGGGATTCAAGAAATTGATAGGTTGTTCAAAAATTTGACCTTGTTTGACCTAGTTGATCAACTTATTTTTAAGGCCAATACACTTGCTTAATCGCAGCATTCTCTGTCCATGTCTAAAATTTTGTTTTTTTTGCCAGCTAATCATTGACCTTTTGCGCCATCAAAACTTGGGATTTTCCACAGGGTAATCTTACTTGAATGGGGAATCTGTGCCAAAGTAGATGTATTATTCATTGAACCTTAAATTTAAATTCTGAAATAGGTAAACGATTAGGTCCCGAAAAGTTAGCCCTTACAATATTTCCTTTCGAAAGCCAGATTTAAATTTAAATCAAATAATATCCTATAATAGGTAACTCAATGTCGAAACGCAATGCCGACTAGCTGAGGTATAAAAGAAGGCACTTTTTGGCATTGACTACAGTTCGAAAATAAATATCAAAATGAAATTAATGGTGATTAAGCTAATGGTCAGTAAAGTTGACGTAATCCTAAATTTTTTTTACTCTTCTAGGTTGTTCTGTTTGCCCTGATGGGCACTGCCTTGGCCAGACCGGGATACGATGGGGCAGCAACCGCCCAGTTTGGTCCAGGATCCGTTCCACAGATCGGCCAAGGAGGGTACGGCAGTCCGCAAAACGGATACGGCGGATCGGCTTCCCTGAGGGGAGGATACGGTGGCGGGCAGGGTGGATATGGTCAATCTGTTCCACTGAGTGGACAGGTGGGATACGGCGGCAGTCTGGGTGGTTACGGCAGCGCACAGAAGGGATATGGTGCATCCGTTCCCCAAAATGAATTCGCAGGTGAATACGCAGCCCAAGGCCGTTTGGGAGGATACGGCGAACCCGCTCCCCAGAGTGGAAAGTTAGTATATGGCGGCGGTCAGGGAGGCTACGGACGACCAGCTCCCCAATTGGGCCAGGGATATGCCGCAGAAGAGCTCGAAACTGGACCCCAATTTGGCCAGGGAGGATTTGGTCATGGAAACTGTAAGCACGAGCATCACAATCACCACGGACATAGTGGACGTTACTAAAACAGTAGCCTTATCTATGAACAAAATAAATTAAGAATACTAAAATTAATAAATCTTTTGAACTGAAAAATGTTTTCATTTATTGCTGTTATTTATTCACACTCAATTATGAATTAAATTATTAGCTGTTGTATTCTACCACATTGTTTATTATATATTTTGATTGGTTCGCACTATTATGCTCAAATACCTAAGCATTTTTGAACTAACGTAATAATTATCTATCTTCAATTTCCCAAATCTCAGTCCCTAAAATTACTTTAAATAGTTTATCCAACCTTATCGAGTTCCTAAGACTGTGTTTTTAAAAATGACAATACTTAAGGATACTTAAGGATTCAATGCTTGGTCATATTTGACCAATACTTAAATTATACTACTTACATACATATACACTCCTTCCCAAATCGAAATATTTATATATTGTTATATATTTATATTTGTGTATATGAGTATATTTCTTGTCTGAGATTAACATTTTGTTTTACGTATTAACGAAGTAGACGATTTTTTTCGTATATTTTTTTCATAGCGCACTCCTATCTATAAACTTTATCACCAAAATACTACATCTATGGAAACCTAAAACACTGAGTTAATTTTGTAAACAAATTTGGAATATGGTAAGGAAACTGCTTTATAAGCTTTTAAAGTTGAAAACGATGCTTTCGTCCATTTTTTATACGTCAATACAGTTTGTAATAGATTGGATGTGATGAATTTTTCTTTGAGAATTTTAACTGGGTATCAAAAAGTCAAATCGTGTTAGATAAGATATACCGAATTATACATATTAAAGTAAATAATAAAATAAACATTTTTATAGGATTCTTCTATTAGTGTATTAAACCGTTAATTTGACTATTAAATTACTCTTTTTTCATATTATTTATGATGATTATAGCCTTTTAAATAAAAAGTTCGCACACGAGCACAAAAAATAAATCAAATAGACAATATTTCCGAAAAAAAAACAAATATTTCTGCCTAATTGGTGCTTCCGCTGTCTGTGATTAACAATTCGTTTGTTTTGTTTTCATTTAAGCATTGACCTCTTGGTTATGTTATCAATACTTCGATTTTTTACAGGGTAATCTTATATTAAAAAGAGTATAATTTTACAGCTTTAGATTTGGCATATTTTTTTATTTAAATTCTTTATACTTAAAATGAAAAACTGTTTAAAAAGCTATAGCCCCATATATAAAAGTGAAATACTTATAATCGTAACAAGCTGTATCAGTAAATGATATTTTATAATTGTCAATCCATTAATGAGTACGCTTCCTAGGTATCTGAATGTCGAAACTTGGTTAGGAACACGCTTACCGATTGGGTATAAAAAGAGGCCGTTTTCAGAGCGGGATTTAGTTCAAAATTGAAATCAACATGAAATTACTGGTAAGATAGCTGTGTAAAAGAAAGAATAGCAGGATCTTACATTTGTCTATCCTTTAGATTGTTTTTCTTGCCTTGGTGGCCGCTGTTTTGGCCAGACCTCAATATAACGGCGGCTTTGGCGTTCAGGCAGGACATGGCGGCGGTGGCCATGAAGGATTTGTTGGCCCAAACGGCGGCATTGGTGGACAGGCAGGATACGGTGGAGGTCCTAGATTTGGTGGAGAAGCTGGTTTTGGTGGACCGGGAGGACATGGCGGCGGACACGGAGGGTTCGGAGGACACGGAGGGTTCGGAGGACACGGAGGGTTCGGAGGACACGGAGGGTTCGGAGGACATGGCGAACTTCACGGACACGTTGGAGGACATCGTGTGCGCTACTAATTCCCCAATAAATTACCCGTCTTAAATTATTCATGAGTGAAATAATAAAATAATTATTTTTTGCCATTTATTTGAATACCTGTTGTTTTCGTTGATGAGATCTCCAGGATATACCCTGCATCGGGGGAAGACGAAACACAAAAACAGCCCGAACCACTCCATTATATAAAAAGGTATTAATAATTTCAAATTTTTAGCCGCTCTAGTGTAGAAGACACTGCCGCTAGATGGCGCTCGTTTGCGAACTCGGCATCTCCATCACACCCTCTTTAGCTGAAGAACGGGTATCCGATAGTCGATGAACTCTACTGCACCGTTCTCTCTTGTTTCCATTAAACAGACTTTATTTCGTATTTCTATAAGTTATTGAGCGAAAAAAATAAATATTATAATTATATTCAAAAAGGAATACACAAACACCTTTAAGCCGTAAAATTGTTTTAAAAATAATTATTGTAATTTCACTTATTTTTTTATTTATATAATCATGTAACGAGAAGTTTTTGGGACAATATCAAAAAATATCTTCGCCAACTCGGGGATGATTGCGAACAAAGGTTAATTTTTGAACGCTCTGTTGAACAAATCAATCTCAGACTCAGGTATAGCCAGGTTCATGTACCCTCCAAATTATGGCACTGAATGTGGCATGTTTACTTTTCAAATTGAGCGCACAATACAAACCAAATGCGTTTGACACTAAAGTCAGATTGGCATGCTCGCAAATCCAGGGACCTTTCATCGTCTCGCAGAATATCACATTGAGAAAATTAGCTGTTGGAATGGGAAAATAATAAGGGATCATAGACACACATTGAGGAAGGCACAGTTACTATTTCATTATATTTTGAAGACTCAGTTTTAATCTAAATAGCAATCTATAGGTTTGTTCAATTGTTTGTTCGGTGTTTTCATTTATTTCGTTTGATGTTGTATATGGGCTTTATTTTGAATATTTATTTACAATTTATTTAAGACTCGTTACACCCTTGCTCAAGTCAAATATAGTAACAGTTGCAATAAACAAGCTTTCAACTTATTGCTTACGTGTCTCATCAATATAATTTACAAGAAAAACTTACTTAAGGCTAATCTCCGTTGAAGTTTTACTTTATGTCTCTGTGCTTCACGCATAATTTACTTTACGGATATTTACCGGCTGCTTATGTTGATGCTTCTTTTATGTTGTAGGTTGTGTATTTTTACTAGTGAGAATATTGGTTGGTTAATTGAGAGTATATATAATTACTATATATATCTGACTTCTATATACCATTTTTAACATTTGTAATTTATGTACGTTCGTTTTTACGAATTGGGCTTTTACTATGCGCTTGCGGTTGGTTTTCTTTGTATAAATAAAATAGAATATTTTTCGCTTTTGCTTCGCTTCGAATAATACATGCCATATACATACATAGAAGAAAATGCTCGATTACGATTCTCATAACTTATGGTTCGACGTTAACCAAATGAGGCCCTCGGACAGGCCATCGCCGGATGTGGCACATGATGGTTGTACATACCAATTGCGATCTCTTATTCTAGTTAAACCTAGTTTTTCCTGGATTTCATGGGGTTTCATTGCTAAAATAAGAACATAATATTAAGCAAATAGAAACAATTGGATAAGCACTATACTAACCATCAGGCAGATCCTGCTTGTTAGCAAATATCAGTATGATGGCGTCGCGCATCTCCCTATCGTTAATTATCCTATGCAGCTCCGTGCGTGCCTCGTCTATCCGATCCCGATCCGCACAATCCACGACGAAGATCAGACCCTGTGTACCCGTGTAATAGTGTCGCCATAGCGGTCGAATCTTATCCTGCCCACCGACGTCCCACACATTGAACTTGACATTCTTATAAGTGACGGTTTCCACGTTAAAGCCCACAGTGGGTATCGTTGTAACAGATTGGCCGAGTTTCAGTTTGTACAGAATCGCTGTGGGTTGGCAAAAACAAGATAAGTTTAGAAACGCCTAGGATTTATAAACAAAATTATTCGCTCAAATTCGATTACTGATAGTACTGCCTCAACTAAACTAGCAAAAGGTATTTTCGAAATTGAAGTGAAGTTAGGATTTTGTTTACATTTTGTTGAAGTAAAATAAGAATAAAAAACAAAATACTAAATGCCCCGCCTCGGAAAAACTCGTTTACATTATTCAATGTCACTGAACTGATATAAAAAGTTTGGTTTCCGCTTAGGGAATAATTGTATGTACTATGTCTGAAGCTATGTCTATGTTATGCGCACTAATCAGGTCCAAAATCGAATTCAAGAGTCCTTCTGATATGCTCACTTGTTTTTCCAGCCGCGTCCAGTCCGAGCATGAGAATTCGCATTTCCTTGTTTCCGAAAATTTTCGATAGTAACTTTCCCATGGTGCTGATGTGTCATCCATTAAACCTTAGCCAATCTGAAAAACAGTTCAAGTAGAGTTGACGACTTCTTTCAAATAAGCATATCGGTAAGAATAGCTGGGCGAGATTCAGGACAGGGTCAGTGAATTTCCAGATAATAGGGCCATTGTAATACAGTTTGCAGTTAACATATCAATTTATGATATAAGAACGCCGTCGCGCTAAGGCGCGTAAGTGATACATTAATATACGAAAATACATATGTAGCAACATATGTACATATGTATACGGATGGCACGGGCACAGGCAATTTGGTGGCCATATAGAGCTCGAGCGACGGCGGAAGCTAAGAGCATTATTTTGCATAATAATTTCACTTACATTGTCATCAGTTCGTTGCTAAAAAGCGAGAAAAAAAGTGGAGAGGCAGAATTTATCAGTGAAGAGCTTGCAGCACACAGTCGCACACACACAGACACACACATGCTTACAGATAGGAAGTACAATTGGACAGATAAACACACTATAGTGTCTCGCAAATTGGGGCAGAGTTATCTCAATTGCAGGCTTATCGCTGGCTCCACTGAATGGGCGGGTAGATCCGCCAGCCCCTCCCCCGCCGACCCAGCAAAGCCGGCTTGGGAGCAACGATATCGGATGGTTTTCGAAATTTACGGAATCTCGCTCGCTCTCTCGCTACTGCTTGCCTACGTCACAAACACGCCCGTAACACACATACACATGTATACACACCCAAGTCTCCTGACGACCGCCGTTACGCACCGCTTTCCAGCCCAATTCGTTCCACGCCGGCCTGAAATCCGTTAACATGTAGTGCCAAAGTGTGCGGGCCGGGGCATAAAATGCATTTGCTTGCACACGGCGGCCAAAAACCTATAACTAACAACAACAATTTTG